GTGCAAATTTATGACGCCTTGGTACGGTGCGGGCCGCCTTAAATTTTTTAAAATTGTAAATGAAATGGAAAAAAGGGGAAATTTCAACCAAATTTTGGTCTGAGAGTGCCATTTCTGGCCATCTGAGGTGCCATAATCAAACATTTTCTTACCTCAGCCCCAACCATGGTGGGGCTGAGGTGGTGTACACTCTCCATTTGTGAAAGTCCCCATGGACCTCCTCTATTTCGAATTCCTGGATCCGCCCCTGTTACACTCATAAAACATTCTTGTTTATAATGATTATTACAAAATAAAAAAGCAAAGAATAGTGGTTTTAATGTTTGCTCCAATTTCCTGTTTTTGATATAATGATTTCATTATTGATAATTGATAATTTTTTACAGTTGTAGCGCGATACTCTTGTGGCATTTACTGAATTTAATGTTTAATAATTATAATAGTTATAAATTTTATCTCCGATGCTTTGTTTTAACCGGATGTTTAACCCCAATTGCTTTTAGTATCTTTTATCCCTTTTAATGCTATTGCATCCGTTTGATTGTCCTCCAATTTTCCCCATTGTCCCTCATGTTTTAATTGTATTCGAGATTTTATTTTCTGTTGATTCTTATTTGGTAATTTTTAATGTTTAACTTCAATTTGTATTTAATCAAAGTGCAATAAAGTATTATTGTATCGTATCTTGTGGCATTCATCATGTTTTAAAAAATTGAGGAATTTAGTTACTTTATCGAAAATAAATTGAATTGAAAACGAATTTTATTTGAAAAAAATAAGATGTCAATCATATAATGATGAGTAATTAGTGTATTCAAATTAATCATGTTACAGGAATGTAAAAATGCAGCAAATACCACTCATTTTCTATTGATTTAGTTGGCAAAGCGTGTGCTTATCTGGAAGCGTGAGCGTTAATGAATAACGATGTTATCTATATTTTGAACGATACCATTTAGCAACGGATTGTGTGCCAGCTAGCGAAGGGTCTCATTCGTGTTCACACGAGGCATTTTAATTTTTATATGGAACTTTGTGAATAATTTCGTGTAAAGGAGGCTTTGTTAAAATTGTCGATATTATATTAACGCCATGAGGGTCATATTATATCTTTATATAATATCGATATTTATACGTAAGTACATTTTAACACGATTTCATTCCACCTTGGAGGAGTGGCTGGTCTGAAATCATTGATGACCGTAAGGCCATAATCGGCGTTTTTCGTCTATACGCGTAAATGTATGCATTGTAGTAATTGGTGTTACCATGGACCAATATTTTATAAAATATCTTAAAATAATAGTAATTCGTAATATATTCAATAACAACGTTTCTTCTATTGCAAGCTCAAAAGATATCACACATTAGGTCTGCCACTGAAAATTAACTGAACGAGTAGGCCTAACAATAATACAGGGATAGGCCTATATACTGCGCAATACCATAATCACGTGAACTTTGAACACATGGCATAATATAGGTGTACTATTAAACGATTCAAATCAGACCTTTGTTCAACCGAAGGCTTATCTTGTGTATACAGCACAACACGTCTTCTAGCATTTATACAAAATTGTAAAATGGCGTACAAGACCATTGTTGCACTAATTTCGCTTTATTTCTTTGGTCACTCTAATAATCACAAGTAAAAAACAGATACGGAAAGGAAGAACTGGAAACTATGTTTAATAGAACACGAACACAGTCAGGTCTTTCCTGGTGTATTTGAACTTAATTGGACCATGTTAAAAATGTTAATTTTTAACTTTACTCCCATACCTAGGTGAATGTCTTTTTTATCCAATAAGATAAAATAGTTTTATAATAATAATAATGATATTGGCAGAATTCATGAACATCATAAAGACCCTGCATTATACCAATGTATAATATACACATATTATACATTGGTATAATGTAGGGGCGGATTTAGATTTACCCTTTTAGAAAGTAAAAAGAAAAAAAACCCCTTATGGTATTGTTATATCGATCGGCCCCTCTTTTTGACATCTTTGGATCTGCCCCTGTTATGTGCAGAGGACAAGACTGTGTTATGTTATTTGTGACAGAGGTATTATTATTATTATTATTATTATTATTATTATTATTATTATTATTATTATTATTATTAGGACTATTATTATTATTGTTAATATTATTAAAAAGCATTTATATAGCGCCTTTACAAAAAAAGATCAAAGCGCTGTACATCAAAACCCGTTATTACAAAGATAAAAGTAAGTACAATATTTTAAATCAATCAATAAAAATGGCAAGTACAAATTACAACATTCAGTAAAATTTCCAAAGATAAATTCAGTACATTAAAACCCATTTTTACAAATATAAAAGTAAGTACAATAAAAAATCAATTAATAGAAATGGCAAGTATACAAATTACAATACCGGAATTCAATAAAATTTCTTACAAAAAGCTAGTTAGCGATAAAAAAAAAATTAGCAACAATAAAACACAAGTGTGTAATAAAATTATGAATCAGTCAAGTATAGCTAAAAACCATTAAAAAACTACTCTCTAGAAAAGAGTTTTTAATAGATTGCACACTGGGGGCCTGGCGGATCCCATAGGGGAGATTATTCCATATTTTTGGACCAATCACAGAAAAAGCACTTTCTCTAAAAACTCTTTTTGTAATGGGAACTACAAGGCGTGGGGGAATCATCAGAGGACCTAAAACCTACACGACCAGGCTAAAACTTTTTAAGAATATCTTGAATACAATGTTGGACCTATTTTATGAACACCATTGTACACATGTAAGATCTTAAAGTCTATTCTCTGCTTGCTGGACTGGCAACCAGGGAAATTCTCGTAGCAATGGCGAGGTTCTTGTGCGCCTCATCGCAAAAAAACCAGCCTCGCTGTACGCGATTTTGGAGTTTTTGAAGCCGCTGTACCGTACATTGGAGCGCGAAATACCGCCAAGCAAAGAGTTGCCATAATCCAGCCGAGAAAGAATCAAAGATCGTACTGCATGTGAGTAAGTACTCGGATCCATGAAGGGTCTAATACGCTTAATATTACGTAAATGGTAGCTAAATGTGCGACAAATAGATGATACCTGTAAATCCATCTTAAGACAAGAATAAAAAATTACCCCAAGGTTCCTAATCCTAACTGATGATGAGGGAGCAATTGCAGATATGGAACTCGGTTGCCTTTGAGATGAGATTAGAAAGAATTCAGCCTTCGTTTCATTAAGCTTTAATTTATTTTCCCAGCATCTACAATCTACAGAGATTCATTTTGTTAAGCGAATTTGCGCACCTACCTACGTAGAATGTAAATTATAATTAGTGACTGTATAAAATGGGGCTGATCAGTATTGTTCCTGCTTCTTGTGCTGAAAACCTTGGTTCAAGCTGGCTAGTTTCGGGATTTTTTTTTCTATGTGGGGGTAACCCATTTTTATTAATTTTTTCATAATTTTTCATTTAAATAACACATATTGTACAATGATATACAATATAAGAAATTGTGTAATAATAATAATAATAATAATCCATCATACTTTCAAAATATGTAATTTGTATATAGCATGAAATGGTTTAATGTTACTCTCATCTTATTCATTTATTTTATTCCTCGGTTGTCCAGTCAATACTTTCTTATTGTTTTAACTTTAATGTCAATTTAATCTTTTGTATTTTAATTTAGTTTCACAGATTTGTAATTTGGTTATAAATATTTATTTAATTTAGTTTAATATAATTATATTTATTTAATATCTAAATTATAGGATTATAATTAAGTGCTTTAAAGGTTTTAAAATTATTATTGTCTATATTGATGTTTGGTACCATTAGTTGGAGGTACACACCTATTTGGTGACAGTGGCTTCGGCTGCTTTTGTATCTTCCTGGCAGCTAGTGTTACCATATTTTCTTTCTTACTGTCCATGTTCATTTGATTTGACAGAAGACCCGAAAAACAAAGACCCATATTTTTTTTCTCTAAATCGTGATGGAATAATGAAATAGGAATTTGGCAACTGTGTTAAGACCCTTGAAAATTTCACAAACAGACGCCCAAAAAATTTCTTATTTTTGAATTTGCGACAGCCTGGCGTATTATCATCAAAATAAAAGATAAAAAATAGGGTCTTCGTTTGGTAGACACCCCTTGATTTTATTAAGAAAAATGTACATTATCACTTTGTAAAACGTGCGAATCGGACTTTTTTACGGTAATAATTGGCCGATGATGGGGCAAAGACCATTCGTAAAATCGACTATTCGTAAAATCGACGTTCGTAAAATGTCGTTTTACGTATATTTTTTAAATCAATTTTTTATGTTATAATAACTACGGTATTCTATTTGGTATCAAAACAATAATTTCACAATGTTTATTATCATAAATTACAGTTTTTCTATCATATGTAATTATAATATTTTTAGCTCCGATAAGGAGCTCTAGGAGTACCCCGATTGATTAAATTAATATATCTTTTTTGTATGGGCGACCGTTAGGGAAAGTATATCATCATCAGAGCTTTCAAGATTACAAGAACTTGTTTTATATTATACTATGGAGGAAATATATTATTCCTCTATGATTATACTACTACTACTATTAATTTGTCGTTTCACATTAAATATTTTTAATAGCCTGGCTAGTTTCGGACTTTAATTGGAGTCTCATTAATTAAGTTCCTGTCTGTTACTTTTTAAGCTGTTGTTGTTCAAAGTTTGGAAGTTACTACGGATGGCAAGGAAGAGTTTGCGGAGGGCTCTGAGGCGCTGCTTACCTGCAAGTATACACCGACCGATGCTCTTGGCGTGGATATCACATGGACACGTGCAAACGCATCAGACAACATCCAAAATTTAGTCGTGAGAAACATTGTACAAGACGAGTACAAAGCACGGATGGAGCTTGAGGTTTCCAGCAATTTCCAAGGTAAAGCCGGCCTGAGGATCTTTAAAGTAAGGAGAGAAGACGCCATGTTTTACTATTGTGATATATTCAGAGAAAATGATAACTCGCCTACAAAAGTGACGACTCTGGACGTACAGTGTAAGTAGTTTTATTATTTAATCATCGAGTGATACTAATAATTATATAGTGTACGATTAAGCAAATTAATGTTTGTAATGCTTTTATAAAAAACATTCCAAAAAAAGAAAAAGAAAAAAAGAGAGAGTAAAATAGACATACTGTAGTGGTAACCGGTATTTTTTGGCTTTAGTACTCAGAAAGTCTAATAGGTGATAAAAGAAAGGATTCCAGAATTATAACTCTTATTTAAAGATGTACAGTCCCTTGAAAATGACCAAAATCATAAAAAGTAATTTTTAAATTAACTTGCTCATTATGCAGTAACATACAAATTATTAACTTGAGCATAGAAATTATTTAATTTAAAAAACGCGTTCCCTGATTTTTTAACTGGATAATTATAATAAAGATTTAAAAAACACTTCCAGTGACTGGAAGTGTACGGTAGTTTCTATAATTTTTTTCGCTGTAAAATGATGGTATTTACTATTTATGGGTAAGCATTTTTAAATACAGTACACTAATTTCTATGTTCAAGTTGGTAATGTTTATGTTACTTCAAAATGGGCAAGTAAATTCCAAAAATGATTTTTATGAATTTTTTTTTTTGCAAGGGACAGTAAATCTTTAAAGATATTAATTACATTTCAACCATACTGGCAAACGTTCACAACTCCCACAGATTGGTAGTGGAGAACGAGCCAACTAATTCATACTCTGGAACACCCTTTAACTATTTTACTATTTAATATACTGCATTCTATGTAAGAATCGTAAAATAGAATATTTTGAAAATGCGTAGTATTATTTATCTATTTATCAATATAGAACTACTATGTTTATAAGTAAATTTGTTATAGTTTAATAACAATACACAAATTGCTAATTTTCAACGTTTAATATTCACAGGGAACTATAAGCCAAAGATCACAAGCGACGCATCAAAACAAACTCTCCAAGTTGGAGATAACGTGACGGCGACGTGCATCCCCAATGGTCATCCAACCCCAGTAGTATCTTGGCTAATGGACAACCAGACGATTCAGATAGATGAAAGGTTCACTATCAACGAGAACACGTCATCCTTGCACATCGCAGGGGTTACCAGGGAAGACCACGCCCTCCTTAGTTGTAGTACACAAAATGCTGTAAATGTATTGACGAGTGATCAAATCGAACTTGACATACAATGTAAGAGTTCGTTATCGTGCATGATTATATTTTTACTGTCTGCCGATGTGTTATACACTTGTTATATTACACTTTAATTGTCATAACATTTCTTTTGTATATCTCATTTTTATATTTCTCAGTAATACTTATGACCAATGCATTATACATTTATAATTAAAGATGAACCCAAGGTGTATTTAAACCAATCAGACAACTTTATCCAATGCGTTAGCCAAGCAAATCCCGTTGCATACCTAACTGAATTTCAAATCGATGACGCTGAACCTGAGAAGAGTAGCAATGGTGTGTATGAACTGACAGGAAGCGAATGCGTCAACATAACGTGTTTCGTTACCAATACAATGGGAATTGGAAACGCGTCAGATATTGTCTGTCCTTTTTGTAAGTAAATCTCATTTGTCACTACGTGTCGAATGCTTCATTTTAAATTCTCAATAAATGAAATAAAATGCTATATGTTTAGCAACAACACTCATTTCTATACTAATTGTCTATAACAACCACGTTTACTTTTGTAATTTACAGATATTCCACCGACATATCAACCAAGTACAGGTAAGAAACGTTTAGGAAATCATTTTCTTCAACCGCTCTAAACTATCCCAAAGTTTCATCGGAACATCATCATCATCCAAAACAAAACCCCGACCGTGGTTCTTGACTCTAACAACTACTGAACTTCTTCTTTCTTCTTTTTCTTCTTCTTCTCTTCTTGTTTTCTTTTTCTTTCTTCTTGTTTTTCTTTTTCTTCTTTCTCTTTTCTTTCTTGTCTTCTTCTTTTTCCTTTCTTCTTTTTGCTTTTCTTCTTTTTCCTTTTTCCCTTTTCTTCTTTTCTTGAGCAAATTCAACGGTAGCAGGCAAATTCACAAATTACAAAATAGGCTCCCAGCGGGAGCGTGTGTCTATGCCCTATACTTCCTTACTGCATTATGTTTACTATTAAAGTGTCCACATGGGATTCGGTTATCAGGAAATGTGTGGTGTTGTACTATTTTTATGACTTTTGTAAGTAATAAGGTAATATAACACATGACCTATCATGCACCTCCACCGGATTTACCTTTTCCGCCATATTTAATTGCCAAATCATAACATAGTGTCTATGCCCCCTCATAGACACTTTATCAAACAATTCGTATACGTCATATGGTCTGTAATAATAATAATAATAATAATAATAATAATAATAACAATAATAATAATAATAATAATAATAATAATAATAATAATAATAATAATAATAATAATAATATTACTAAAGAAATGGCGGAAAGTAGCAGTGGAATTAAGAAAAATAGTTGCTGCCTGGAAATACACATATAGGCCTACTATTAAATATGTATAATTACTTTAATTACATTTCGATCTGTAATCGATATTTACTGTAATTCCGCTATAACTTTCCATTTGTCTTGGCATACTGTAGCTTGCTGAGGGCGTATACCAGTTGTGTCATCCTGATAATTGTACGGCAATGGGTTCGTGGCTGTAAATAGTTTAAACTAAGGGCCTCTTTGTTAAGGTTAGACTCTTATGTGTGATAACTATAATAAACATTATTTTTATTTTAGGTCTCGGTGGTGGTGCTATTGCTGGTATTGTGATCGGTTGCTTAGTGTTGGTTGGTGCCGTAGTTATCCTTGTACTTATCTTACTTGTACAACGTAAGTATTAAATACGGAAGAATAATTCAGTGTACAGCACAGTAGTAAGGTTAAATTCTAATATGTTCCAATGATAATTATTGTCTCTTCATGTAATTATTTATTTTATCAGATTTGTTTTTATCATGTCATGAAAGCGTTTGTCTTTGTACATGAAGTTAGAAATAGGCAGTTAAATTAAATTAATTAATTAATTAATGAAATGAGGCTAATTTAGTAGTTGATTCAATGGGGAGGGGGAAGCCGGCCTGGACCCCCTCTAAATTCTTTCAAAAAAAAATGGAGAAAATAAGAAAATTCTACTCAAATTTTGAGTCTAAGGGCGCCATTTCTGGCCATCTAGAGGTGCCATAATCATGACTTTTCTTACCTCAGCCCCAGTTACGGTGGGGCTGAGGTAGTATAGACCCTCCATCCGTGAAGGTCCCTCTCTGGGCCACCTCTATTCCAAATTCCTGGATCCGCCACTGTATTATATAATACATAGATTGGAGTATAGTCGAACATACACATAATTATTGAACACTGCAATCTTAAGTTGGCGCTCCGTACAAACTACTGTTTATCTACGCAGCCGCTTCGACCGTACTGTACTACTCCCTTGAGCGTGGAAGCAGTTTTAAACAGTGTTGGAATTCAGACTTCAGGTTCAGAATACATCTGTCTGAGCTATAAATCTAATTTACTAACAAGGTTTTCTTAACCCTTTTTTGACAGATAAATCCGGAACTTACGAGGAACCAAAGAAATCAAAATGGTGAGTGATTGAGTAATGTATCGTCTGTGTGAAAGAAACTCATCATTCGATGTACCATCGGAAGCTTTAAGACGACACCAACAATACAGTAATAAATTTACACAACTCTTAGTCGTTAATTTTCATTATCTTATAATTCTTTACGTTTTGTTACAGGGAATTCGCTCAAGACAACGACGACATGTACGAGAACCAAAAACCCTCAAGCACAGGAGCCGGCGCAGGGACCGATACCGGATCTGACGCAGGTAAAACAACGATTAAATTGAATACTGAGGAGATTTTTTATTGTTGTATATGTTAAACATAAGGATTTAATGGTAAACATGTTTCGGGTGTACTCTTCAACCAATCTTCAGTACAAACAGAACATACCAAAAAAACTCGCCATTCTTAACTACGAATATAGATACAAAATGTAAATGAATATTAATAAGCTAAGCCAATGTGTTACCAATTAAGGTAATGAGCGACCGTAATGATGGTATTATTATCAAACCAACGTAAGTTGATGAAGAAAAAAACATATTTTAAGAAAAGAACTAAGGATTTAATGGTAAACATGTTTCGGGTGTACTCTTCAACCAATCTTCAGTACAAACAGAACATACCAAAAAAACTCGCCATTCTTAACTACGAGTATAGGTACAAAATTGAAATGAATATTAATAAGCTAAGCCAATGTTTTACCAAATAAGGTAATGAGCGATCGTAATGGTGATGGTATTATTATTATTATTAATAATATTTTATTATTATTACTATAATTATTATTAATGTTAATAATAATAATAATAATAATACCATAATAATAATAATAATAATAATAATAATAATAATAATAATAATAATAATAATACCCTAATAATAATTTTATTTAACAAAATTATGTGACATGCCTAAGTATGGTAATGATGATATCACATCATAACCATACAGCATATGAGCACATCGTTATTATATGTGCATACAGCAGTTTTTTGTCAAAGAAAATTTGATAATCTGGGCAGAGCTTTAAGTCCCTGCAAGTTTCAATTCGTATTTTCCCATTATGTCTTCGTTTAGATAACTTACTGTATTTTATTTTATTTACATCCAATGGGAAGTAGGGAACTTTCGATTGCACGACGACGGTAGGACGCAGAACGTAATGACGTCACTAAAAGTCATCTGCGCATGCGAGAACGTTAAGGTCACCTCATCTAGTAGATTCTGGAACGCAATTTGGCCAAATATACGTATGCAGAGAACGTTGAACGCCAGGTAGGGCAGTCAGGCATGAGTGATTCCGTTCTAGCGTCGTGTCGTCGGACAAATCGAAAGCTCCCTAGAAAGTGCATAGAGAAAATAGAACTCTATGGTAAGTGATTGGAGTAGTTTTAGTTGTGAGAATGTCCTTCTGTCAAGCGAATTGAACCCAGTAGCCTGGGATTAAGAACACAGGCATATAACCACTAAGCCACTCTACTCCAAATCATCTCTTAATTTTATTTCTTCGTAGCTTCTCTCCTTTCTGTGCAATTTTTACTCGCTTTCAAACATTTGCGCATTTTCAATTCCTTTTCAACTGCCTTTTATGCTAAAAAATACTTTCTGTCGCATTAATTACATCCTGTTCCAGACCGACATCACCTGTGAATTATAATAATCAATAAAATGTATGATATTACGAGTTATGTGCAACTACATTGCCATCATTTTAACGGATTAAGTCGTATTTCTATACGGCCGTATCCTTACACTATATTATTGCATGAAGTGTACTCACCAATCCAAATCCTTTCGTTGAGTTGGTCGCATATATTTAAATGAATTTTCTGTAAAATTAACAAAAGGATATAATACATAATTTGAATGCGTAATATATTTTGTAATCATCGTCTAATCGTGTTTGTCGTCGTCATCATCATTACCACCACCATTACCACCTAGGCGTCATTAGCCCATGGAATACCGGTATGTTGCTATTATAGTGTTAGCACCGGCAACCAAAGTTCTCTTACTTAGTTATAGGCGTAATACAAACGAAGCATTGATCTTACTTTTTTTCCAAATTACAATGCCAGCAATGAGAAGACAAACTGCAATAATTGAAATTACGATACCAGCAACTGCTCCTCCATTTAACCCTGTGTTAGATAAAACGTACATGCTATTCAACTGGATCGGATGAAGTATAAAATAAATTTAAATTAGTATTTAGGTCTAAGCAACAATTATGGTCGTTAAGCTTAATTATTATACGGTCTATAAGCGTTAATCTGATATTAGATTACGACAATAAAACCTTACCTGTTTGAGGATTCGGTTTGTATGTTGGTTTTTGTTCTATCGACGAAAAAAGGAGGGAAAAATGCCAATTAGGTCTATTTATGACAAGGATAGAGAAAGTAAAATTTAGTATGGTTATTGTTTTTATAGGCCTACATCGTGCTTACAATAATTTCATAATCTTAGTTAAACCCACAAGGGTTGGATAAGCTTAGAGTCAAATTCCAATCACGCTTAGCTTAAGAAGTTAGTTTTAATGACCTAAAGGTATATGGACACAAGTTAAAACAACTCCAAAAATCACGATCAAAAGCAAAGCGTGTAGCCACAAGAGGAAGACCGAAAGTATTACAGCTATTAAGAGCTTAAAAGAAAACTATAATCATAATTGAGGACGAAACCTGAATGGTAAGTACGTCTTCAAAGTATCAATGGTTCATAAAAAAGAAATTTAATATTATTTTTCTTATCATCAACATCATTGATATTATCAAAAACAATATCGTTTATTATTTTTAATATTTATCAATGATATTAATAATAATATCGTTTATTATTTTAATATTTATTATTTATATTATCAATATTAATATCATTTATTATTTTATTATTATATATCTTTGATATCATCAATATTAATATCATTTATTTATTTATTATTATTGATATCATCAATATTAATATAATTAATTATTGTATTATTTATATTTGATATTATCAATATTAATATAATTTATTATTTTATTATTTATTATTGGTATTATACATATCAATATCATTTATAATTTTATTATTAATACTTTACCATTTTCACAAACAAAGCTTGTGAAAGATATTGCTGACACATAATTGGTCGCGTTACAAGTCACGTGTTTACAGTCTTCTATGTGTATTTCAACTGCTGTATCCTCAACTTGTTTATATTGATTAGTAGTGTTCTCGTATATAATTACGGTAGCCACTGGAAATGCGTCTACGGTACATGTCACTATATTTTCTGATAACGACAAAACAATTTTTGGTCCATCTAAATGAAGAAAACAATTCATGTTTATACCTGCATATACAATAAGTGATTATATATAAAATATATATTTTATTAACGGCTTATAAATTACCGAATACTCTATTACATATATTTTTATTCGTATACGTGATGATGTATAAGTACAAAGAAAATATTGTAAAATGAAAGAAGATGACATGGAAAAAGAAGAATGAAAACAAGTTGGTTGACCCTACGAAAGAGAGAAAAAGGAAAACAATTCATGTAACATCCATCTCGATACAAAACCAAGAGGAAGAAAGGAATGAAATGAGAGAAAATAAGATGATTGTAACCAGTCCTCACATTATAGACGAATGAAACTATATTGAAAAAAGAAACGCATTGGTTAGCAGTAAAAAAAAAAGTTTAAAAATATAATTTCTACTTCACGTTCTACACACATTCGACTGGTAATAAAAGTGCTTTGCTTAGTTGCAGTCCAACATTGTTCACAGAACTACATCTGATTTCAGCATGATGATCCGCCCTCGTTAGATTGTTTATGGATAGCAAAGCGCCCTGAACATGGTAATGACTATTGCCAACTGGTATTGAACGGTTATTTATTGACCATTCTATAGTTGAAGAAGGTAGCGCATCTGCTACACATGTAATATTGACGTTGTTTCCCAACTGAAGTGTTCCTGGAGGCTTCTGTTTGGTTTTTGGTACATTATTCCCTGTAAAAGACAATACAAGAATAAGCAAACAATAATAAGCATTATATTATTATTATATTATCGCACATCTAAATAGATCCTTGTCATTGATTAAGATACTAGATATTAGAGTTGGATGGATCTATTGTCTAAAGAAGACTTAGTTCCCAGTGGGGTCCTTCTGATGGTGATTGGACAGTACACCGGGAGACAATTCCCTACACTTTTCCGAATAGTGTACTGGGTTCTTTAACGTGCACCTCTATACCGATAGGCGACTTAACTTAACTAGATTAAGGTATGGTTAAGGTAATGTTCATCATCCTCTGGGCCGGAAACAACGTCCTGTACTCAAACAGTCTCATATCAGCCTGGTTTTCAGACATTATTTGTAACATTATGAGTAAAACGCAGTAAGACAGGGAGCAGCGATGGGAAGTGAACAGGGGACATAGATCTCCACGGTTCAGCGCAAGTGGCTACCACCAATTTAGCCGACTGAGCTAAGCTGTTCTTATAGTTAATCGGTTAAGATGAACATGGTGGTCTGGTAATTTCATCTCACTCAAAGCTTACATTGCACTTCTAGCTGTGTTGTAGAAGAAGCAGATACAACATGGACGCTGCTTACAACTTTACATACAAAGAGGCCCTCATCTGATTCCTTCACGGTGGCGATGCCCAGACTGGCGTCCCCATATAACTCGCCTACCAGGGAATACCCGTCAACTTTAGAAACGTTTCTCTCGATAATTTGAATTAGACTGTTCCGATCAACTATGTGTGTCCATGTTATATCTATGACATCATCATCTAAGGCTGTCTCCAGCTCATAAAAACATTGAAGGGAAGTGGCATATCCAACAGTAGCTTGTTGCGTCGGAGGGGTTAAGACATTGATACTGCTACACAAACCTGGCCCTGAAAATAAAATCGAGAAATACTACCATTATAAGGGGATGGGTTGTTTTTTAAATAGTATTGGTTTCTGCGAAGTATCATTTGTTGCCATATCAGATCATACGTATTTAATACATTTCCTTAAGCAGTTTGAAATCGTAAATCCTATAACTGAATACGTATACAAATATTGGTGAGGGTTTGGTATACAGGGGTACTTTCTAAGTAGGGGCAACGGTATAATTTTAATTAGTGGATATGTCTACGTGCAATAAACTTCCTGGTACGTGTCACCAAAGTCACCTTCGACAAAGAAAACTCACCAGTTATAATTACTAGAAGAATACTGATTATCAGTGACCTTAGAAAAAGGTGTCGCCTACTCTTCATTTTGACAATGAATGTCATTAAAGTCTTGATGAAGTTAAAACCAATTGGTGGCAGAGGTTAAGAGCCTGCAAGCCATGGTATGGCAACTGGTTTACAGAAATTCACGTTAGCTCACTTTAATGGTTGTAAAACTCGGTTGTCTTCATCGTTGGTTAGCAAGCTGCCCACAGAGGTCTATCTGGCGAAGATGTCTTTCGCTGGCCTCCAAATCGGTAAAGTATTTAACTTCTTAATACGAAAATTCAAATGACTGGTAAAATATTAGCAGTGCATGAACCTACTGGATTTTTGTTATTGTTAATAGCTGAGCAATGGGCCGCTTCATGATTCACCGGCAGATAACAAAGTACATAAGCTTATGAAATTTTGCTTAATAATTTTAAACAGTACAACAACCACCAATAAGTTAATCATCGACAGTACAATGGCCAAAGGTTACTTTCATAAACACACATTCAGTATTGAAGGAATAACACATGCGCTACTACAGTAAAACCCATCCTTTGGGTCACCCCTATTAAGGGGAAACTTTTCCGTGAAATGAGGGGCGATATATCTTTTAACACTGCGGCTAACCCCTATTAAGGGGACGGGGACACTTTCTGAGTGTGCCAAATGGTCAAATAACCCATACTAGGGGACACTTAATTTTTTTTCTATTGCATCACAACAATTACAACAGTCTCAAAATAAGAAAAAATCACTCAACTTTATATAGTGATACATTTTGAGGAACTTATCAAGGAACTTGCACTTTCTAGCCAGTGGCGACTCTAGGATATAATTTATAGGGGAACTAAGATGTCCGAATGGGGGGGGGTTAAGTATTTATGGTTGTAACTTTAGTGCGCAGCGTTATCTGAGGGCCGAAGGCCCGAGCAGGGGGTGAGTATGGGAGGGGTCTCCCCTCCTCCCAAAACAAGACTCTAGATGGCCGGAAATCGCTGGGATGGGAAAACATAAGCCTATGTTTTTTTTTTCTTTTGGTCCGACTGCCCGACGAGCTTTGGCCGATGGGGGGGGGGGACTCGACCAAACCGATGTGGGGGGGCTTAAGGGGGGGGGGGCGCTTAAGCCCTCCTCCCCCCCCCCGCTGGCGCCGCCACTGTTTCTAACTATTATCACATTTGTTAGACTACGTAATAATAATAATAGTGATAATAATAATTTTTGTAACTTCTGTAATGCTCAATTGATAGATAATATCGAACACTTTTTTATATTTGTACCCTCGTATTAATTGTATTTGGTATTGGTAACGAGAAAATACAGGGAAAAGTTTAATTTAGATTTGCATCATGTTTGGTTACTTCTCAAGAAATTTCAACTGTAGTTACATTAATAAACTTATACTTATTGCTAAGTTTTCAATTTGCAGATTTAAACTCGGGAAATACAACAACCCGAATCGAGTATTCCACAATGACTTGCTTATTAGAAATACGGTATACAATATATGTGATGGTACAAAAATAAAAAAAAAAAAAAAAAAAAACTTAAAAAAAAAAAAAAAGGAAAAAAAAAAAGGGAAGGAAAAAAAAAAAAAAAAAAAAAAACAAAAAAACAAAAAAAAAAACAATAAAAATAATATATATAAAATGAAAACAAAAATTAATGAGAATTGTAGGTGTTTTCTTGATGGCTGATGGGATATATTTTTCTATTAACATCATTGTGTTCAACTTGTATGTGGATGATGGGCGGAGAAATTGATAATTGTTTTGCTGTTCAGTTAATTTATTCTTCGTTCGATTGTTTGATGTATTTTTGTTATTGATTGCTTGCTTACATTACTGATGTATTGATTGATTGATTGATTGATCGATCGATTGAGGGATAAGCATCAAAATATATCAAGCTCGTGTCATTTTATATATATATAAAAAACGAAAAGTTGAAATTTCATGTCTTAATTTGAGTTGAAGGTATCAAATTTTTGATTGATTTATGATTGTTTAAAGGTCAGATTGATTGAAAAAATGATGAAACACCGAAAATAATGAAAAAAAGTATATAAAAATGAGAGAGAGAGAAAAAAGAAAGAAATCAAATATATAATTAGCTTAGACTAAGTTTGACAAAGAAATGATGATTATGAATTCATGTTGAAGATGAAAATGAATAAAAGTGGTGTTTTACCACACAAGGAAAAAAAATAAAAAAGATAATAATAATAATAATAATAATATTTTAACTAAAATTGAAATACAAAAAGAATTATAAATCAAGTAAAATAATCTGTCTTTGTTTGGTACTAGTATGGTGTGTTTAAGTATTTTCATGGGTTGTTGTTTTGCTTGTATCTGTTAAAGTGGTGTTTTGTTCTCACCTCTTATTGATTTGATTGAATTTTGTATTTTGAGAATTTATCCAATTTTGTTGTGGCTTATGAATATACGGTATTGTCCGTTTTAATTAAATTGTTCTATTGTTTTAAAGTTATTCTAGGCCTACTACTTTCCTTCTCTGTTCTGGAGGTTTTTTGAATAAGTTAAAATTGAAAATGAAAATTGAATTTTGAAATTTGAGCAATAAACCAGAATTTTCTCCCCAAATCTTTGAAGTGAATATCGGAGTAATATTTGCCCATTGTGTTAGTTCGTATTAACCAATCTTGTCAATTTCGATCCTTAACCTAGGGGATTTCTTTTTATTCATTTTTCCTCCACTTTCCTAGGATCCTAATGTATTCATTAACATTGCATCATGAAACAATATTGGGAACATATAAAACTATTGTTTTAGTTACATTTTTGCTGATTTCACATTATAAAGGAATTGTATTTGCAATGGAAATTATTGCTATAAATTAGTCCTAATTCTACTGTAACTATTAAGCGGACAATTTCACGTTTTTGGTTAGTGTCCCCTGAATAGGGGTAACCCTATTCAGGTGACACCCCTATTAAGGGAGCACTATTTTTGGTCCCGAAGGTGTCCCATTAATAGGGGATAAAGCTGTATTAATTAATGTAATTTCAGCAGTGGGCTAATCAAACACCGAGTTCCTTTCCCAAAAGCGCCCTCTATCACAATAACGTTTGTCAGACCCATCTCGATTTTCAGTTGTTTCAAATATTATATTCTTAATTAATCAACAGGAATGGAAGTGAAGATATTTTTATGCGTGTTCTTGCTACAAGGTTAGTTTATTTGATTTGAAATTTCCTTAAATATAGCCTATTAATCACTTTTATTTTATATTGAAATAAAGCAGATAGGCAAAGACACAATGCCTTTAAAATATTGAGAAACTGTAAACAGTCAAGTTTTTTAATCACTGCCATGGTTCATCATAACATCATAATTATCATGATCATAATCATCTCCGTCATCATCATCATAATCATTTCCCGCCGATTATTACAACCGAACTGCATAAAGACAAATTTACTTCGAGCAAATCCATTCGTATTGATGAAGATAGTCTATGTCATAGTGACTGCAGAATAATTTCTTAGTATTTTTAATTTGAAGTTATATAATGTAAACAAGTATATAAAAGGAAGAACAGGAAAGAAATTCGGAGTGGCTTTAAAAAATTATATTCAGAAAGTACTGTATGTAAAATTGTAATAATGAAATATCTCTTGATACCAGTAACAAATTAATAAATAAATAAATTACGTTTTGTAATAAACCTGGGCACTAATAATCACATTTATTATAAAACGTAGTTCAAGATGTGTATAAGAGACAGATGTAAATAGATGAGTCTCTGTAAGGGAGTTTGAAACTACCGACTTTCGCTTTAATAATGCTTTTTGAAATATCGTTGGTGTCGGTAACGAAACTTTTGTGTAAAGTCGACCAAGTGACCACTAAATGAAAAAGAGGACGCTTTTCACGTTATTCACAACGATCCCTAAGGAACACATGGCCAAAGACAGTTATCTATCATGGTTATTGATCATTACATAGAATTAGTCACCTCTCATTATTCTTCATAGCAGATCAGAATGAATTTTTAGGCGCCTACCAGATTCGTTTTGCTGAACCTCGTTTTGCTGCTCCTGTTACCACAAACCTCTGATCGAGTTCCTTTGTACCTTTCAGTCCCTTCTAACCTCGTTGAACGATCCATAACAATACCTAAGTAGTTATCGCCAATAACAGTCACTGTTCGCTTTGATTCAAAAAATTGCGAGTACCAACGGTTATTTGGTGTATTGTAAGACGCTATTTTGAAGCACATCAATTCATCATTTCAATACGATTCGTTTGCTGCTTTCTGCTTGTTCGTCCATCTGGAACGGTACAGTAACGGCTCACCTCGTACAAGAGTCACCTGCAAACCGTATTGCTCCACTTTGCGAAGCCCTCCCTGTGATAATCATTCGGACGTATAATTAAGGAAATCAGCGAAATTCGTTTTGCAAGTAAGTTCAATTACATTTATTATAAATTGTTTCTGTTCATATTTATTTAACCGTTTACTCCTAAACAAAAATGTATACGTCGGAAATTGTATTTGATGCGGAAATACGAGCCGGAAGCGATAGTCACATTGAGGGTTTGGTTTGCCGAAACGAGAGCCGAAAACATTTAACGCCCTAGTCCGATGCACTGTGCGTCTAGTCTAAATCGGAGTTCAGCTTTAGGACCTGCCTATCATTACATTATATTTTTTTTCATATATTGCACAAATTTATTACTTCTTTGAACCAGATAAAAAGAAGATGTGTTTGAACTCATTTCCGTAATTTGATGAAGCTCGACATAGAGAGGTTGAAACGCTACGACGCGCCGCCAGACGATAATTTATTAATAGTGTTAATTAGTGCCTTACCTGCTGATGTTACAGTTCATTATAATATCGAAATATCATCTGCATAATGCAGATCATGGTATACTCCGCATGCACAGCAGGCTCCTATAATAATCAGCGTAGGCCTACTAGTAGGCCATTTTGTATAGCTACACATTAGACAAACGCGCAGAGTAGAATCATGATTTTTACGGAGGTATTACTATAATACCTCCATGGTAGTAGGCATATTACACTGTGAGTGGGTGGCCTATAGGAAGAGCTAGGTGTTCATTAATACCACCCCACCATTATCATCCTTATTATCATTTACTATCATCATCATTCACATGATTATAATTATCATGATCCTCCACTAGATATCATCTCCGCATCATTGTAATAATCATCATCATGATTTTCATTATAATGATCAACCAAACAAGATGATCATCCTCCGCATCATCATTATCATTATGGTAAATTATCATCATCATAATACCGGGTTTCTTGAATGCCTGTCTACCGTATTTGGCGATGGGTCTCCCTTTTGGATTTACTCTCCTTGCCAGATGCCCAGCCCATAGAAGCATTGCAGCCGATGACTATTCTTTAATGTATGGGTTAAATGGAGCGAGAGGTGTTAACAAAGAACAGTGCAAACGCTCAATTCTAAAGAATAATCAAATAGGTCTATGTGTGAATTTTTAGTGTAAAACGGTTAGTTCAAGCTCAAGGCTGATTAAAAAGGGGCGTGGTTTGGTGTTAACACCGGTTAACAAGCGATGTGATTAACACTACCATATAGCCTATATATAAAATATATACCCTCATTTATGAATAGCAGCTTTAATGAGTCATTAAGTTACGACCTACTTCGATCTAAACATAATAATAATATCTACATATTTTTGGTTCCGCATCATATCTTCGTTTACACAAATTCCTAAAAGGAGTCTATACTTAAGTTGAAAGGTGATTCATGCGTTTGGTATTATCGTAGTGATGTCAAACGCAGCGGGAACTCCAGCGCAATCCTGCAATATTTTAGTGCCTTGACTCTTGTTTCCATAGTAACAGCAAGGTGCTTTATAGCGCTAGTCAGGAGAATATTCAACATTAATTCAATTCACTATGAGCATTGAGGTATAGAGGAAATGGCATGAGGAAGCGTATCGAATGAGTAAAGAAGGGGAGCGTGGAGTAAAGCTTCGAATTTCTAAAAAGGGATATTATGATATATTTTAAATTCCAACTATAGATTCATATCAGTAAGGAGCATCGGCCTATTATATTCCATAATATCAAGGCGTATAAGATACTGTACATATTGGACGATTGGAAATATATAATACCAGGCTTATGCACAAAAAGATGTCCGGCAATTGTGTGCACTAATCATTAGTCGTAATAATGGCAAATTTGTCAACAAAATCAACAATAATTGCTTTATTATTAACCAATACAGCGTACAGTCGCTTATTTAGCATTGTTCAAATGAATTCTGTAATTATTGATACCTATTGATTATTTTATTTAGCATAATAATATTAGCACAATAATTGTAAAATTTTACAGTTTGTATAAATAAAATAAACATTGAGGTTGAATGAATTATGGAGGGTTGTCTAAATTATTAAGATCTAAGTCAGATAAGCCTACTTTACTTTTTGTCATGCACGCACACTGAGCCGACGGCCGTGCCGATTCCACAGAGCCGTAACGACGCGAATAGGCGCGTGCAACGGATCGTTCCGGACAGACTGTCACAGACGAGAGGGAATGGGAGTTCCTTTTTCCACCTTCTAATGCCATTTATTCATTTATTATGAAAATAAATAAGTAAATAAAGAATTCTTTAGCAGTAACAATTAACACTGACTGTATAAAGCTGTATTAATTAATGTAATTTCAGCAGTGGGCTAATCAAACACCGAGTTCCTTTCCCAAAAGCGCCCTCTATCACAATAACGTTTGTCAGACCCATACTCGATTAATTTTCAGTTGTTTCAAATATTATATTCTTAATTAATCAACAGGAATGGAAGTGAAGATATTTTTATGCGTGTTCTTGCTACAAGGTTAGTTTATTTGATTTGAAATTTCCTTAAATATAGCCTATTAATCACTTTTATTTTATATTGAAATAAAGCAGATAGGCAAAGACACAATGCCTTTAAAATATTGAGAAACTGTAAACAGTCAAGTTTTTTAATCACTGCCATGGTTCATCATAACATCATAATTATCATGATCATAATCATCTCCGTCATCATCATCATAATCATTTCCCGCCGATTATTACAACCGAACTGCATAAAGACAAATTTACTTCGAGCAAATCCATTCGTATTGATGAAGATAGTCTATGTCATAGTGACTGCAGAATAATTTCTTAGTATTTTTAATTTGAAGTTATATAATGTAAACAAGTAAATAAAAGGAAGAACAGGAAAGAAATTCGGAGTGGCTTTAAAAAATTAAATTTAGAAAGTACTGTATGTAAAATTGTAATAATGAAATATCTCTTGATACCAGTAACAAATAAATTAATAAATAAATTACGTTTTGTAATAAACCTGGGCACTAATAATCACATTTATTATAAAACGTAGTTCATAAACATGGGCACTAATTCACGTTTAATAATTCGACATTTAATTTTTACCTGAATAATTTGGCCTACACATTTTTCAGTTGTTATATGCAGTGTTTGGTCACAGAGCACAGTGGAACTTACGACCGAAGTACAAACCACCATTGTCCGAGAGGATACTACTGCAGCTGCGGCAGGAATATCACCGAAGGTAAAACCCACAAAAAACTCAAAAGGTAGGCATAAGTGTAGCTCGTCATCATTTTCATCATAACCACCATCATCATAATAAGCGTCACTAACCTGATAATCATTTTCATCATCATTACCAACATGATGATCAGCATCACCTTTATCATCGCAATCATTTTAATTATTTACAATATTCGTCATCATTGAAGAGGTTCTGTATCCTAATTACTTAACAATATCAAAATATCGTATTATCGCAGCAACGACTACCGATAATGATAAGAATGAAAGCGGTGAACAAGACGACAAGGATGATGATGATGACGGTGAGTACTTTATTTTTTCTGATCCACTTTATTATACGTAATTATTTGAGGGACTGTGCATATTATGTGAATACAATTTATGACTGGGAACAGCCAAAATACTAAATACAGTAATACTAAATAACAACAACGTCAAATATTGAACTTTATACATTTCATGCCAAATTAATTATCAAGATTGTTGTTGCCAAACCCACACTTACTATCCCGCCAGGGAAATCAGTCTTCCCGTCGAGTCGGAGACATTTCACCCACCTCCATCATGAACACCTGACACTCGTGGGCAAAACCTGGCGCTACAACTGCCAACACAATTCTTTGGTCCTTATTTATAGCATAGCGTGTGTAGAAACCTTATTCGTTGGCGTTCTTTATGTTTATTTTGGCTATTATTTGCCAGTACAGAATTGACAAGTCACAAGTATCATTACTTGGACAGTATCCTAAACGCTAATAATTCTCTATCGGCTTCTATAGGTCTTAGTCTGGCCCTAAATTGAAACTTAGCCTACTTTGTTTCAAAAAATTAACGTGAGACATGATAAAAGTTATCCTTTTCAAACACATTTTCAACATGTATTAAATAGTGAATTGCTATCTTTGCAGACTCATTGAGTGGTGGTCAGATCGCAGGTATTATCATCGGAGTTATCATAGGCCTTGTTTTAATTGTCGTCATCGTATACATAATTATTTCTAAGGTTTGCACAAAAGGTAAGTCAAACTACAGACCAATCAGAAAAGGGCAAAATACGCGCATGTCCTACAAACATGTTAGCGTATGTTAAGCTGTCTTATTGTAGGATCTTAGCAAAACATCCAAGTAGTGGGGGCTTAGCAAAAATGCCCATTTACGTAAGCTCATGTTTCTAATGAGTAGCAGATAATGCAGGTGAATGGTCAATGGTCACTATTAATATGTGAAAATAATAAATATATTCGTGAATAAATAAATAAAAAAACGAATGAATGAATGATGAATGAATGAAAGAATGATTGAATGCATTCATTAATGATGAAAGAATAATTTAATACATTCATGATTAATAAATGGACCGATGTGTTTAGTGATTAATGAATGTAGGCTGACATATGTTACCAACATAAATATGAATTTTATGCAAATAAATTACACCAACATATCTTATTGTATATTTTTTTCTGTATATACTCCTGTCTTTACATTGCATACAGAAGTCTATGGGCAAAATTACAGAGGCCTATAATATAAATTATTAATGTTATTTTTCACAGGTGAATCTCAAGCGGCTACTACAAAGAAAAGGTAAGCATCTGCGTACCATATGAACCCACACCTCTAACTTTCAACTCAAAATTGTATTTTCCTCTTAGTTAGGTTCGTATCTCTTCTGTCTATTTAAGTTTGACTGCGCCACTTTCTTGTGTGTTGTCACTGATGTAAAAGTGAAATGTCAAATAAATATTAGGCCTAATATTAAATGTTATTACAGTATTTTCAAATATTAAAAACAAGCTATGTTTTGCTTTAATGGCTAATATCTTTGCTGATCTATAAAAATTATTATTATTATTACTATTATTATTATTATTGTTACTTTATTATTATTATTACTTTATTAATAATAATATTATTGTTAATATTAATAATATTTTCGTTATTAGTAATAAAGGTGAAGGATAAAACACATTATTGTTATACTCTTTTACAGTGAGGTTAGGTACAAAGAAGTCGATAAGAGCGATAAAGCAGCAGAAAAGGTTACAGAAGAAAAAGACGCTGAAGCAGGGGAAACCGATGGCGAGGCAAAAGCTTAGAGTGTACAGGAAATGACATTGTCAAACGAAAACTGTTGATATGTAATGTGTAAAGGCTGAGGGTCAGTGACCTATAACCATTTTATTTTAGTTTTATTAACATTTATGCCTACTATTCCTCAATACATTGCTGTTTGCTAAATCAAATCATTTGATTATTAAGATATTTTGTTATTACCCATGGTTACTATTTGTGCTACAAATATTGTCAATTTACTATTTACAATCCCTTTGTTCTTCGTAGTACATTTAATTACCTTATACTTTATGCAAAAATGCCTACACACTAACCGACTACATTAAGACGTCGTTATTGGTTGATCAATTTACTTTACTTTTTTTTGCATTAACGTAGAATTTTGTAACGCGTTTCAGTCTTCAACAGTAATTCGATATTTCTAAACCAAAATTTACGTTTATTCCCGGTACAACTTCGTTTAATTTTGATTAGTTGGAATATGATCGTTCTGAATATGCCGATGTGCAATTAATGTTAAATATAGTGTCTTTGCAACTGACATAGTATGCCCTCGTGTTTTAACAATGAATGGGACCATCGTGCCTTCATGATTGGCAGAGTGTGTGATTTATAGCAAGAGTCTCATCATAGGCCTATAGCGTGTGAATTATATAAGGTACATGTACAGTAAAATAGGAGTAGTAATACTGTAGACAAATAAGCAGCAAGATTGCAAGCGGTGGAAGCAGTTGTGCCTCGGCTAGATATTAAATTACACATTTTGTTTCAAAATTAATAGAAACAATCTGTGAATAGGCGTATTGATAAGTTGGCTTATCTACAAATTACACTTGATCGTATGTAACGAGCATACGAAAAAAGATTAATCATAATCATCATAACAACGTGTCTTGCAATGATCATCATCCTTCGATAATGGATGATTTAACCAAAACAAAGAGCTTAGAGTAAACAAAAAAATTCCAATCATCAACATGAATCAATGTGCATTAAAATAGTTAATAGAATTTTAGAATAATTTGTAATTTGCTTAGCCTTATATGTAAATTTTGATATGCTTGCCAATATTTCTTAGCATCTTCGTACAAGTTTAGTGTTAGGGCCAGGTTCGCCGAACGCTTACAGGTTATTGTACTAATAATAATGCGTAAGCGTCCTTGATGTCGCTTAGTAACCGCTATGTGAACGGTTACCGTGGTAATATACGTGTCTGTAGCTTTGCTTTCACAACTACTTTTGTTTAGGTAATACAAATTTGTTAATTTTATACTAAAATTATTAACTCACTTGTTATTGATGATAATTAAAAGATACAGTGTAGCAATTGCTAAATCTAATTTCTTTGATGGTCATTAAACATTGTAAAATAAAAACAGGAACTGTACGGCACTTGGTTAGATTTAGAATTCACATGATTGCTGCAACAACAAACGCAACCAGGATTTCGTACGGGGCATGTTACCTATGACAGCCAGAGGGGTACTTACTTGGTATTTGACAATTTGGCGCCTTTGTGAGGAAGACACATTCACATAGGACCAAACAAGGCTTCCCCCAAAATTGGACTATTTTTCACTTAGTCGTTTTCAGGTGATAATGCTACCGAACAAAAAAACAACCGGAAAACGTCAGGGTCGTGAGCTTGTGCCTTTTCCCCCCAAAATTGGGCTACTTGTCATTCTTTGGTGATTCTGCCATTCATCGGGAACGTAGATGCCACAGAACGCAACCGTATAATCCGCAAGTGCCCCACAGAACACAAAACAACCGAAAAACGACAGGGTCAAAAGACTCAAAACATCGACCAATTTCGACAAAAACCGTGAGCTATCTTCTGTTTTTTTTTTTTTTATTTTTTTTAATGATTGGTCTATTTTCCACCTAGTCGTTGTTTAGTAATTCTGACAGTCATACTGTACGTAGCTGCCACAGAACACATTCGTATGATCCGTATACGGTACCACCGTACACAAAACAACCGGAAAACGGTTATGTTGAAACATGACCAATTTCGAAAAAAGCCTCGCGATCCGTGGGTGCCACAGAACACAACACAATCGGAAAAAGCGGCATGATATAAAAGGACCATGGAAATACCGATTACGTTTGTTTAATTTAACCTTGTTTATAACATCATTTTCACAGAATGTAATATTGCGAATCATGCCAGATATTATTTAAGCTTATTTTAAAGCCATTTGTTTGTTTTAATGGGTTTCAAGCTAGAAAAAAAAATTATCATGAGAAATGCATAAAGAATTGTCGCCCTCAACCTCTGAAATTACGCAAGGTAGACGAACTTAATTCACTCCCCTTGGCTACGTCGGGTTTTCGTAATGGCTATAACTCGCCACATCACCCTATTACCATTGCAGCCTTAGTTTTCGTCTTGCTGTCGTTAAGCTGATTCTACAGTATGTTCTTTTTTTACACCATAAATACTTTACTTTCAATTATGTATTTTTTAATTACTTTTTTACTTTATAGGCTAATTTCAACATAACATCCATTCTCATTATAACAATGAGGAAAAGCCCTATGTTCTGTTTTACAAATTATAAATTTCCATGGCGTTGAATGTTGTAAATTATTCCATAAATAGGCATCATTTACAAACATGGATAGAATTTTCAAAGTTTGATGCAGAACAATCTCATATTCCATGCTAACAAAAAGATTTCAGAATGAAGTGTGGTATTCATATATTTCGTTTGTTCCAAGATCTTTATCTTCAGGTATAGCTTTATAGAAGTTAGGCTATACTAGACTTCGGTATAATGTGCTATATAAATCTGATATAAATCAGAGCTTCATTTCCTCAATGTGTTCACTTTGGATTTCATCAATATGGTTACTATAGAAGTTGTGTAAGGTAATTCTTTCAGCAACAAATATTTCTTTTCAATCAATCTAGGCAATCTACAATAATCTGCGCCAGCATCCACGGCAGATGCAATGTTCAGTGGCGCTAACGACGGCATTACATTTCTTTTGAGGCGCATTGAGACTTCGTTATGATTCGCTGGATCACGTCATTAAATTACATTTGCTAATGTTAAACGAATTGTCCTGTAATTATATTTGCCAAAAACATGCAACATGCAATATGACTATACATAGGCACATCATGACTATATATGGGCATACCATTTCATTACATGCACTATGACCATACATAGGCACATCATAACTATATATGGGCATACCATTTCAGAGCTTCAGGCAGCCAAGTTGGGGTACCTAAGATTTAAACAAGCAATTCCGAGAGTAATTCTTCCTCTTCCAAACACTCATTCATCTTTTATTAAACTGGAGACAAACAAAATTGACCAAGGCAAACAAGCTATAGCAAAAGGCAGATTTTATTCTAAAATACTATTTACATCATGATGTGCAAATGTGGTAACCCATGAAATTCGCATAATTACAATCAAATTTGCAACAAATAACATATTCGCATACTTGGAAGATGAAATAACACTTCCATAATTTTAGGAACAAGAAAATACAAGTGAACTAAGTTTCCATTTCAAACGTTTAGAATCAACTATAAAATTGGCTATTGCCTACCGTAGTAGAGTTAATGTTCTACAGAACTGACATTCCAATACATGCCTAAAGCTGGTCGGACGACTGTCTTACAACGAATCCAACTCCGCTTGTGAGCGCTAGACGATGTGACGCTGTCCGTCGATTGCCGGTGGGAGTCTGATCGTCGTCGCGATGCATTCTTTGTAAAATTGCGCCAGTTGACAACCGTTGAGCACATTGAGTACCCAGCTTTATGCACTTGACCGTTAAATTCAGTATCAAATTTAGTGCAGGATACTGTATGTAGCAATAAACTTGATGCTTCATTTTTCCATTTTATTTACATTTATATTTACAATTTTCAAAAACAAAACTATCATATTCATTTGATTGCAGCATCCATAATCATTGTCAGGGGATTTTCAATGCATTGCAAAAACCTCAAGACCATCCTGATGGAGAGAGGCACAATAAACAAAACAAATCGGGAAACATCCAACAATTAATTGTAAAAAACAATCAATTTTGCTGTTGGCCACTTACAAATCTTTGGAATTTATGCAAATTACTGAGTACCAATCATTCTTATACATAATATTTAGATGAAAATATACTCTACAATTAAAGTTCATTAGCATAAAAATAAAAAAAAATAAAAAAATAAAAAAATTTTGTTGGCAAATAAAATAAATTTGACCATTTTTCATTGAAAACCTAAAGCACCAACACAATGTGCAATACTGCCCTCTAGTATAGCATTGGAATGTTCACTTAACTTATTGTCACTGCCAGTTTCTTCTTGTTATTCTTACGTTTTGATATCATTCGTAATATAAAAATCAAAGAATCTTAAAAAAAAAAAAAAAAAACAATAAAAATACGAAATAAAGTTAAAAACCTTATAGACAACATTAATATACATAAGAATACAAGGTGAAACAAATCTAGCAATTTGGCAGCTAATTAAATCTTGAATATACTAGCATGAGCATCGGTACACTATTCAATATTACACAAATACAGTGCAAATATTTAAAGATCCATTAGAGAAACACTTTGATAAGCCTCCACAAACTTCTCAGTCTACCCCTCTGCACATTTGACTGGGGCCCCTAGAGCAATTTACTCCTTTGAACATTACATGTTTACGAGGCCTTAGGGCAGGCTACCACCATGAACACTATACATGATGAGGAATATGGGGCAGCCTACGGTCTGTATATGACATGTTACTGGGGCAACCTATTTCTTTGTATATCACATGTTACTGGAGCCCTGGACTAGCCTATGTGAATAGGGCCCTGGGGAATGAATGTAAATGTGGCTTTGGGGCAGCCTACCTCTTTGTACACCATATGTGACTGGGGTCCTGGGGTAGTCTTCCCTCTGTAGATTACATGTGACTGGGTTTCTGTGGCAACCTATCTCTGTATGCTTCTCTTACTGTTCTCTTATTGCTCATATAATTCATTACATTCATATTGCAAATGATAACTGCCTTAGCTTCCATTTGATACTTTACAACTCTACAAAAATACATTCAATAAATTCATTAAAAAATTATTATGATTATAAAACTATAAGGTGTGCAATACTAATTTGGCTTTCATAAAGGCACAGGAAGTGAGTGTTAAATATTAATGAGTGTAAATTACATGTGTACATGAGTTATAATTACACATAAAATCAAGGACAATAATAAATAACGTTAATATTTTTACATTTTTCCTGCAATCACTTTTGCAATTGTTGCAATGGATTATCAATGGACGTTTGTTCAACAATCACATTGCTAACTAGGAAAGAAATATACATATTTATTTATATTCAACATGATGATCACTAATTCAAACTGAAAACCATCTTTTTCTCAATCAGACCCTCACAATAAGGTGCATTTTTACTGCTGTGTGTACATTACCCTAAGCCCTGTCCAGACTATCAAATTGTATTTGACAAACACATGTGACATGCCTAAATATGGTCATGATGACATCCCATCATGACCATATATAGGCATATCATGACTATATATGGGTATACTACAGATTTTTGTCAAAGAAAATTTGATAATCTGGACAGAAATTAGGTTTGACTTTGTCCAATTTAATACTCCACAATACACACATTTCATTTGATATTGAATGGTTCATCAGCATGACCACCTGTTAATAAGACAGCCTCTCATTAGGCCACCTGCCAACAGACCACCTGTACTTAGGGTCTCCTATAACAAAAGCTTTTTAAGTGTTCTAAAACAAATATTTGTGAACTGCCCAAATATGTGCATGATGATATCATAACATACCTACATATAAAAATCACAGGTATTTACATCCATCCATCCATACATTTAAATCGTAATAAAACACAAAAAGATAGAACATGTTACACACATTATACATAAACTACACCGTTACGTCATGTTAAATGAAAGTATAGGATGTACACAGCACAAACTAACATTTCAACCTACATTGGAGAAAACTTAGGGACAATATGATTTGAATCCTGGGGTACAGAAAAGAACCCCCACCAAAACACTATTCATGATAAAGCAGGTATTTCAGAGACCACAGGTATCATTAAAAATGATCTATAACTTGCACAACAGTAACATGTCTATAATAATGCATGTTCACTGATTAATATATTGTTCAATTGTAAACAGTAATAAACAAGCAATTGAGATTCAAACTGGAATACTACCAGTTAATAATGTTCAACAAACCATCGTCAGACATATAGATGTTAGGACTACGTTAAGATGCAATAAAATCCTCACTATTACTATTTGAACATGGAAGAAAATTAACACCTTTGAATTAAAATGAGTGAACTACTGAAAGAAGTACTGCATGAAAGCAAGACCTTGAGAAAAGAACAAGCAATATAAAATATATGTTGGTACAGGATCAACAACTTTGTTAGAATTGCCACACCAAGTTACATGCTTCTCAATAGCAGGCCAAACCTCGATAGCAAGCCAAACCTTGATAACAAGCCCAAACCTCATTAGTAGGCCAAACCTCCATAACAAGCCCAAACCCCGTTAATAGGCCAAGCCTCTTAGCAAAGCAATCCTTATTAAGATGCAAAACCATAGGAGATATAAAATATGAAACAAAACTAAAAGTGGTGCTCTTTATGTTAGCCAAAATTAATGATCAAATAAATAATACAAGTTACAACACAAAAAAAACCCACCACGATTCATGTACTAAACCACACATCTTTTTACTTTGCAAATAATTGTAAATAATAACATTAGAATACGTAATTTTGAGTAGATATTCAGATTCTAATTTTTATTGGGATCGTTAATAGCATAATTGCAATAAGGTTGTTGATGCCTGTTAGCTTGAGTTTAAATGAGCAACTGTAAATAAATTTAGTTAGAAAAACTGATTCTGCACCTGAAAAATGAAACAAAGTAAATAAAATGAAGGTGAAAATGAAATGAAGGAGAAAATAAAATGAAAAAGAAAATCCCCAGTGAGTGAAAGGCACTAAGTAAACAAAAAAGAAAAATGGATCATTACACAACATGCAAATGTTAATAAACACAACCATACAAAGTACTTCCTTGGGTTAAAAGTTATGACTTGTCAGTATAGTGCTTTGGTAGGTGGTCACATGTGTCATAGCTTATCAATAACAATAATAATTTCTAATGCACAATTTTAAGACATAATTGTTAATCATAGTATACGCATTATTTAAGTCAAGTATTTCATGTTATTATTGAATAGAATCTATTTTTTGGAATGTGTGTTGCATTTTAGGTTGTACTTGTTGGTGCATTAATTTGATTATACTGTACTTTGGTTTAACCCATTAAAAATTATTTTATATATAAAATCTATAAAATTGAGGTACTAACATAAAGTGCTATTTTTATGTTTCTTTCAAATAACTTATTAAATCAAAATCATTTGCTGTATAATTAAAATGCTTTACTAAATTTATAGAGTAGTCTTTGACACAGGGCAGTCTATTTTTATACTGTTGCATAATATCAAAAGAAATATCACAGAACCATCTCATGCAATAACAATACTATGCACTAAACTGTAACAGGCATAGAATTGGCATAGTCATCTTCATCAGGTTTATCGTTATAATCGTCGCCATACGATGTCCTGCTGTACGCCCTCTCATCACCGTATCGGTCATATTTCTCATATGGGTCCGGCTGTGAAGAACAATTAGGGCATGCATGATTTTAATAAATATTAATGAAGTTATGATGAATATTCATGAAAGACAATGACTTAAGTTTTTTAGGCATTTGAAATTTTAAAAACTTGCACAAGTTTCTGATCAGTTCTAAAAATGTTTTGCTTTGTTCTAAAAAGTAAAAAATATTTGTTACTTTTTTATTTTACAAAAAAAAAAAATTAAATAAAAAATAAAAACAGATATGTCTTTTCTAGAAATTGCCTATTTTCTTTTAGCAATTGGCAATTTTTGAAATGCTTTGGTGCATAGGAAACTGTAAGTATCGCAGTAGCAGTGGACAAGTGTAGGAATGCTATTCTTAAGTAGCGCAGTGGCAGTGTAGGAATGCTAAGTATAAACAGTTTCATACAAAGTGACAATAAAAGCAAATTATAAGAACAAGGTGAATGAAAGAATAAAACAGAAATATTAGAGCTAAAGTTAATATAATAATAATGAAGGAAATCTGAATGAAAATCAAAGTAAAAATAAATTATAGCACAAGTGAGAAATGAAATCAATATATATTGGTAAAAAAAAAATAATAAAAATTACTTTTACAAAAATAAAACAAAATAAAATAAACATAACTTAATAATTGAGCATAACCTACTGCCAAACTTTCAATTTATTTGCAAAAAAAACATCTTTCAACAAACAAAATTGCCTTTTGTTTTTTAAGATAAACTTGTTTTAATTTAAAAAAAAAAAAACTTTTGCAGAATTGGATATTTTGTGTGAAACACACCAGAGAAGGCAAACAAAAGCCTAAAGACTGTTTCCAGTGTGGTCCTGGTGGATTGGGAAATACATGAGATCAGTGTACAGTTTCTCTTTCTGCAAGTTTGTACTGTGTGTCTGTTAACATCGCATGCAAAACACAGCACACAGGGCTAACAAATCCTTCTGGAAGTTGGCAAGATATAATATGCTCATATTTCAGCCCTACAGCTGTAACCCAAGAGTAGAGGTTAATTTGTACCAGGCACTAGAGCATCTGAAATAATCAGTACACATACAGTGGCTACCACTGATCAAGAGAGCTATGCTACTCTCACTTCATATGTATATTTTGGTCTATTAAAAGTGGCAGATAATTGTTTGTTGGCAGTTTAATTAAAAAATGCTTAATCTTTGCAAACAAATGATAAAAACCATTTTTTTTTATCTGTCTAACAGATTTTAAATATAAATTTAAAAAAATCAGAAACATCTATAATTTTTTTGTGAAAAAGAACACATTAACAGCTAGGTATAAATAAAATTTTATAAACAAAAAAAAACCCCATTAAAATTTTGTGGTCGTTTTGGGATTTAGGAAGCTGTACCATCACCAAGGCCAAAAAAAAAAAAAACCCTATTAAACAGTCTGAAAAGTACAATAATTCAATTGTGTTGCTTGGTCATAAGGCAATTATGTTGCCTAGGTGATCATCATGTGGTCATGTTGCCTAGGCAATCAGAAAATTGAAAGGCTAAAACTTCACTTGAAATTTCCTTTTTATAACCAAGTATAAATTGAGTACATAACACGATTACTGCAAAACTATCACTAGCTTTAAAACAAAACAAAAATAAGAAACCCAAAATTTTAAAAAATAATTTACACGTTTACTGTTGTATGAGGCATATCCATGATTAGAAGGATAACCAGCAGCCCAGTACTAGAAAATTGAATAGCACAATTAGTTCCACACTTGTTTGGTCATCATGCCATTAATAACATAGTATCATTAACTTCTAATAATTAATAAAAGATTCTCTTACAAAAACAGAATAAAACATTTGTATAAATAGATCTACATACTGAAACCAAACTGAAAAAAAACCAAAAAAAACAAAAAAAAAAAAACGGAAAAACTGAACCATGAAACCAACCCAAGAAACATTGCTGAGCAGAACCATGGGGAATATTGAGAGAGAACTGGGACCTACACAAACCTACCAAGTATGGCCAAAGGAGAAAACTGATGACCACGAAACCAAGTATTAAACTGTTAACAGGTTCCATGGGAACATATTGAGAAGAAACTGGGATCCAAACCAGTTGAAACAATGAAAATATACTGTGGCAAAAGATTAACGAACACTAAACTTGCTGTAGATAAAGAGAACCAAATCTGTTCATAGTAAAGATAAAGCATTGTCAATTTTGATTACTTATTGTGAGGGAGCCTAATGCAGTGGTGGTAATAAAAATTCACCGAACATGAATAGCTGCAAATGAGAACTTGGTGGCAGCAGACTCTGAAGTGAGAGATGAACATGGATTGCTTGATGATAAGTTACCATAGCAACAGTGTATGTGTTGAGAATCATGGAATGACCTACCTCAGCAGTGGACGGCTTGGGAGTGTCAGACTCAAGAAGCTGAAATGGCCATAAAAACATGTGAACAACATTCTAAATGCCAGTATGTACACTGAAAGCCAGCATGAGAGCCAACATAGTTATTCGACACAATCCAACATTATACATATAAGCTGGGGTTTAGTCCTTATTGTACTGTATTGCTTTTACATTGTGAACAACTGCTTGGGGTAAAAGTATAAATAGTTGAAGGATAGGAGTCAGGGGCAGATCCAGAGATGTTTAAGTAAAAGGAGGGGGGGGGTGTTGGGGCTACCCTAAGGGTGTCCGAAGCACAACATTTTTTTTTCTTCCCCTTTTAATAATTATTTGAAGGGGGGGGGGGAAGGGGGCGCTAAACCTACCTCTGAGATTAATGGCAGGGAGGACAGGTTTCATAACCTAATAGTAATTGTCACAGCAGATCATGGTCACAAACAAGCATCATCATCTTTGATACTTGGGAGGGGGGGGTGTCATAATAGAGACTTGGGATCTAGGCAGATTGTTATTCTTATATACATTAAATGTATCTACAGCTTGCCAATTCATTGGTAGTAAATATCAACTTAAGCTGCCAGGTACTCCAACAAATACTATTACAAATCTTTATTTTAAAATTCATTTTCTGCATATTTGATTAGCTTATTTACAAATACAATAATTCATTACCTAATAGTTTACAAATTAAAAAAACACTTGTTCAAATAATCACCATCAAAAGTCATCAATCATGGAAAGTGTAATGGGTATTCATCCTGAACTAAAAATAATTACAATTTCAACAATATAAAGAATTAGAAACATATAAAAATAGAAAGTAATTGGGTAAAAAAAACCACATTTAACTATTGCCAATAGTCATGGAGTCCATGGTTTGGCTGGCCAATGAAACATGGTGATACATAAGCATATGGTTTGGCTAGCCAATGAAAAATAATGATACATAAGCCCATGGTTTGGCTAGCCAATGAAACATTATGAACTCCATACTATCAAATGATTGATTGAAGATGATTCATGGCAAACAATTGTGGCTGATTACAACATTCTAAAAAGACATGAATTTGGAAAATAGGAGTGGTGCTAGGATGTGCCCAAGGGAGTCCGATGTTTACAACGGGCTGATGTCACCTACAAGGCTGGATGTCCCCCATGAGGCTGGCTACCACCTGACTGATAGTGTCACCTCTGTTGGGAAACTTTATAGTAACATGACATCAAATAATTGAATGAATATAACATGATAAATATGAACAGTTTGATTGGTTTAAAAACTTGAGATGATTTGATTGGGAGTGCAAGTACAATAGTAGAAAAGAACACTTGTAAGTAGCTACACATAAACAGCTACCTTTGCTGCCTCTTGTTTGCTGTTCCCGTTGATTGGGGGCGCTGTCTTCTTCCCTTGGTTTACACGGTTTGGGTCTTTAGTGTCCCATGTGACATCCATATAAGCAGAATCTGCTGATCTGCAAGATATTATGATTATCAAAACAAGACATTAACAGGAAATTGAGTGCTATGATTACTAATTATTCTCATTCAGTTTTGGTTTTGCTTTCTATTGTTATTTGAGTATTTATAAAGTTTGTTTTAGTTAAAAATTTTCCCCATTTATCTACCACAATCAAATTTATAATAGGCCTTTCTGTTCCTATTGTCATTCAGTCAATTAATTACTATAGAATGAGCCACACCCATAAATTCAAAATATGAAGTCGTTCCAAAGACAAGGTTGCAATATTATAAGACCATGAATAATAGAAAACTTGATTTTATTATTAGTTTGAAATTTTTCCTATTTATCTACCACAATCAAACTCATAATATTTTCCTTTACTATTGTCATTAAGGCCTAGTTCAGACTAGGTGGATAAACCAGGCTCAACTCACCGGGTTTATCCACCTGCCAGTCTGAACTAGCTGGCTTATCTCAAGCCGGGCTGTGTTCCTATAGTAACTAGGCCTGGAGCGCCACCGTGTTTAACTTTTCAAAGCTGGGCTTTAATCGTTGCGGGGAGTCTTGCATTGACTTCCGGGTAACAAAATGACCAATCAGCATTCAATTACGTACGCTGTGAGCAAGCGTACGTTTCGCGAGCCATGTTTTGAAACACGTTTCCTGGTTACGGTTCATCATTATGCAAATTCTCACCTGGCTAAACCCACTAGTGTGAATGCACGGCAAAGTTAAGGCGGGCTTAACGTTGAGCCGGGCTTAACTCAAGCCTTGTTTATCTCCAAGTCTGAACGTAGCCTTAGTCAACTAATTAACAAATGAGCCACACCACTGTATTCATAATATGATGCTATTCCCAAGACAACAAGGTTGCAATAGTCTAAGAATCATGTTGAAACTTACTTATTTGATGGTCCATCCTCTCCTGAAATAAATATTCAAAAGATATTAATAATTAAAGAAACATTTTCACATTATTGTTACATTTAAATTGACATAGAAACATTCAATTAAAATTTAAACAACTGTTTTTTACAAATATTTTTTAAAACACTAATTGGTTCACCAAAGAGAACCTAATTAATTCAAATACAATTAATGAGTTATAAAGCAACATAATAATTTTTTTTAAATAGCACAAATAAAAAAACTAATGATTATTTAAAAAAAATGTTATTAAGAATTGAGATGTCTGTGGCATAAACGATAAAACCCTTTGACAACTTCCTTAAAAAGATTTCAAGAGAAATCTTTGAACTACAAAGTAAACTAACACTTAAGATACTTACTTGCTTTTAAGACAATGACTATAACAACTGCCAAGATAACAAGCACTACAATGATTCCAATGACTATGCCAACAATGGCTCCAGTACTCAAGGGATCACTTGTTTGTTTTTCTACAAAACAAACATTTGAAAAACAATGGTGGTGTTATTAAATAAATGGAACGAATGACACCAACAATAAAAAAAGAAGACATAGTACTGAAGCCTTATTCCTATGGCTAATATAATATGCATTGTAACTGAACCACTGTTCTGTATTATGGTAAATAAGCAGTTAGTGAATAGTTTTCAAGTCTATTGAAGGCATTGATTAGTTACTTTCATATTTTATATTAAAGTTGTACATCATTTTTTTAATTGGTAGGCCTAGTTGATTGCTTAATAATATATTTAATGTTCTATTATTGAATAAATATATTTACCAATAATTAATGTTTTATAATTGGTCTTTAATTTATTTTTACTATTTTTTAAATTTTTAAAATAAAGTTGATCACATTTGTATTTGTTTCTCCCCACCCAGGGTACCTGGTTGTAGCACTTAAGGCATTGTCTCTCTACTATTTACTGACAGCATTGACTAGACATTGTCCCCAGAAGTTTGCACTTTGTGATAGTTTACCAAAAAAGGGTAAAAGTGACGGTAGGAGAATAACCCATAACATGCAGCGTCATTATGCTAAATATGGGTGTGGTTCGTGACTACATAGCAGACGTAAAGAGGCACTTATAGTAGCTACACATTTACATCATTCCACAACAGCAGGAACTGAAATGAACCATAGCATAGGGAAAATACCCTACATGTACTCTTCCAAAAGACTTAGTTATCCAATAAAAAAGCATAATAAAGATTTCTACTGTATATAGGAAAACAAATATTTTATGTAAATAATGCTTATTATCATGTTTTTTGCCCTATTGGTAGAAACTTATTATGAACTTATATAATTCCTGTGTAGCTGGCACCGTAAGCATTAATATGAGATAAATTAAAGCATTACCCTTTTTAGCAACATTGACACTCAGGCTGACCTCAGATGGCTCAGGTGCCCCCGCTGTACCCTTGCATACAACATCATGTCCACCAACTACAGCTTTGAAGGACAATTTATCAGAATCTGTTCCAGCATTTTCACCATCTAGCGTCCACTCGTATTTAAAGCCGTTACCTGAAGAGGATCCACCACATCGGCAATCTACAGTAACATCTTCTCCAGGCTGCGCTGATATTGCACCGTCCACAACATTGCCATGACTTTCCGACACTATAGATAATGCCCCACATGAATCTGTAAAGATATAATAATGGCATTTAATTATCATTCTCACATTTAATCTTGTATAATATTTAGAAAATAGAAACAAAAAATTATGGGATCCTTACAACCACAATTATCGGGTAAATTTAAAGCTTATCAATATATTATCATATATTTTAACCCCACACAAAAAAATTGTAAATGAATTAATGAAATTATTATCAAAACTTTTTCAATTTATATCATGAATTTATTGTAATTCATTCATTGATGCTTTTGTGATTGTTGTGATTTTATAAACTTTTATATTTTTATGTCACGTGAGGGCACCATGTTTGTCAGCAACCACTGTTTTGGGTCACCTTCGGTCAATAAATTTGAATAAAAATAAAATAGATCCCAAACCTGAATACAATAATATCTATAGTTAAACTTGTCGACCATGCCAAAGTCTAATAATTTTTAAGTCAATCTTATTTTACATGCCAAATTGTTGTGTTTTCCATTAATTAATAATATGTAAGTCGAATTTTATCCAAGTCGAACAATATTTCATTGGCATTTTCGATTCGACTAAATCAACTGTAAATTCAACTGTATTTAAGCAAACAATGCACTCATGATATTGACTTGCATTACAATGTATATTTCACTGCAAACACTCACTATTAATATAATTGCTTCAAATCTAAAGTTAAATCTAAGAAAGTGGGCCTGAAGCTTTTATGGTTAAAGTTCACCTTCCAATCCCAAGATCCTGGGTTCAAATCCTATAATACTTGTTCAACACAACTATTAATACTTGGCCCTTGAGCCTAAAACATAAAATTCTTCAGAACCATAAAGAAGTTGGGGTAACTATACCAGAGATAACTGTCCCTGTCCACTATCTTAAATATATTACTTAATGCCAGCTACCATTGGTTTTTTCCTGTCTCATTATGAACTTACTACTACACCCTTTTAATCTAAAATATGCTTTTCCTGAACACCAGTGACTAATATCTACACTTGTATATATCATTTAAGAGGCATTGTGCAGGTTTCAGTTTTCCTTGTATAAGCAATAGAAAACCAAGAGTATAGATTACTATACAGAAATACTGTGAGTGTGTATTAATATCAGCCACAAGTGACTAAAATCCATGTGATAACAATCAAAAATTAAATGTGCTGAAGAAGAGACAAAGTGCAATATTAGTTCTATGTTTACTCTGTATCATAAACAAATAGAATAAACAAAGTCTACAATACAACAGACTATACTTGAAAGAAAAATTGTCAATGTATATAATTACTGTGCGATAAGAATATGAGAAAACTGAAATATAAAATATCAGTGAAACAGAACCAATAAGTGCAATCCTTATTATTATTTAGTGAATATTTGATGCCAATTAGGGCGAGTTCGATAGCCAGGTGGTTAAGGCAGGAGCACCACAACGTACAGTTATAATATCGGTGCTTGTTCAAACAGTACGTTCTCCTATGGTTCTGGTAATAAAACAAGTGTTCTTGGATAAGGACTATAAACTGTAGGCCCAGTGTACATAATTTGGCTCATGTGCACAAAGAACCCAGTACATCTTTTGAGACGAGTAGGAGGGTTACCCCGGTGTACTGGCCCATTCAGCCCTTGGTGTGTTCAGACAAGAGCAGCGGGTACCGGTTTACCGGTTACCACAGACACCAAGAGACCCTTTGGAGAGCAGAAAGTTACTGTAATAGCTAGTCCACACTCCATTTTTGTGTAAAGCACTATATAAATCTACTACATTACATTACAAATATATTTAACATTCTATTTTCATATTATTTAATTCTTCTTCACATACAATGGTAATTAAAAATTGACTAAAAACAATACAATAAAAATGATAGCAAATGAAAGAAAGCCAAACAGGAAGAAATATGGAATCTGTTATACACACACCAATACACATCACAATAAGCATGTGCATGCAATACGCACTTACTAAGCACACACATGCACACGCTAACATCTATATACCCGGGTTAAGAACATGCAGGAGGAGTTAAGCACATACATGCACAATTTAGTAACAACATGCATGCACTAAGTTAGCATACTGTACACATGTACAGGTAATGTACATACATGCATATTCAATGCACATATGTAACATTATGAGGACTTGCAACAATGCTTTATGCTGATTAAAATAGTAAGTACATAGTAGGCTTACATAATGTTTTATGTACATAATGTTTTATGTACATAATGTTTTATGTACATAATGTATTATGTACATATCGTACACGCAAACGGCAGATTATAAAGCATTAGGGAATCGAAAGTAGTTTGGGAAATACTTTGCCTCCATTTTAACATTAAAATTGCCATTGCCAACTAAAATGGATTACAACAGAAACCCTTCCCCTAATTTTGAATTCCAAACTTAATAAGTGGCAGTAGAGACAAGCATTTTGGGCTCGTGTACAGTATCATGATTAGACTAAGTGCAGTGTTTGTCTAGTAACTTATATACGCCATTTACAGAACCATGCTTTATATACATGTCTCTTTATTAGGCTTAAGGAGTGGAGCTGTTTTCAATCATAGGAAGAATCCTGGTGTACAGTAAGTTTTAGTCTAATACTCTTTGGATTGGAAAGCAAGAATCGTTAACAGCAAGACTTATTCAGCTCCACTAAAAAACCATTTTTAAGCAGAGGAGCTGCAAACTGATGTTTATGAAGAAAGCACACAATGGAATACACCCTCTTATAGTCAATTAACAAGCAAATGTTCCAATTAATGTCATAAGATAAAGATGAAATTTATGATTTCAATTAAAATGTGCAACAAACAATGAACAAACACAAACAAAATGTGAATTTTTTTTTAGAATGGTAGTAAGAATTAGTGATATAAGAGCAAAATTATTTAGTTTAGTTTTTAATCATCAATATCATGCATCTTATATTTCTTAGGTTTTCTCTTGAAAAAATAGAGATAAGCTAAGAAAAACAAACCACTTGGTCCAGAAAAGCTGTTCAATGCCACAAACAATTTTACCTAGCACTAATTTTGGTAGAGCCTCATGTCAGGCCCTGTTTGTGCAAACACATATTAAGAAAATAAATAGCAACTTTACAGCCAACATGTTGGGGACAACAATAGAAACATTGAGATTCGCTACACATGTTTTTAGTGTATGCAAACAATCAGTCTTTAGATTGCTGGGTTTGTTTTCCAATATGCAAATTTGGTTAAATTGATTGCATTACCTGGTGGTGGTAGTGTAGTGAGCGCATTTGTAGTTGTCATGAGGGTAGTAATCCGGGCTGCAAAAACAAATTGAACAGCTCTTGGGTATGATTTCAGTCTGGGAACTTGCCATATATGGCAGAAAAAATACCATATATGGCAGAAAAAAATTGCCATATATGGCAGAAATAAATGGCCATAATTACAGTATATGACCCATCAATATAAAAATCAAACTAAAAAACTTCTACATTAATTAAAATAAAAAAAAAAAAAAATGTCATTCTTGCAAAGAACAAAAATAATGGACAGTAAAAAATAGAACTTATAAATAAAAAAACAATAAAAAAGGACAATTGAAACCAAACTTAATGAAAAAAATAGCTTTTAACAACAAGAACAATCAAAATAAAAACTACTGGGCCAACTCGAGAAATGTTTTACAAGTTAAATACTGCATATTGAAGAAGAAATATGTAACCAACTACAGGTAAATAAAATCAGAGAATGTAGAATTATCACCAACAGTAAGTTACTACAAAACCACATGCATCAACCACCATATTATGTTAAAAAAAACAGAACATCAAAAATGTTACATCAATAATGTTATGAATCTTTCAAAAGACCACATTATCATTCATTTATAACATATTCACATTAATGAAAAATACACTCTTTGCATTGATCAAATTATATACTAACATTCATGAATTGCTTAATTGCTTTCCATGTTTACAGTACAGTCATGAAATATTGCACTTTTACCTGCGCGCAGGCTTCGTAGATACATCGTAGCCAGATGTCTAACCTGCGCGCAGGCTTCGTAGCCTGATATAAACAATCTAAGCAAGGCTACGCGAAGCGAACCTACGAAGCAAAAGCATGTTTTTCATTTGTATGTGCAGAAAGACTGCTGTAGCTTACTGGAATAAACAATGTATTGTTTGATAATTTGTGAATGGCAAACGAGTTTAGACCGTTAATTTAAAGTATGGAACTGTTTTTCAATAAGAAAAATGTACACTTGACTTCATGGGACGCTCCTCTTCCACTCGCTGTCCACGACAGGAACTTGTTTGTACTGCTGTATTATTTTTTAAAATTAATTAGCCTAGGCCTAGCTATTTTTCATTTACAATTATTTTACCTCATTTAAAATTTCAAAAAAACGATGCCCTCAATGGCAATACACACATGTGAAAAGATTGTTCATCAAATATTTTGTAGTCTTGATTTAGTACTAGATAAATAATAAATATAAAGGAGAATTAACGTCCATTGGTTGTAAAATTACCGAATGTGACATGGAAAACCCAATGGAAAATAAAACTTAGCCAGCATTAGACGTCAGAGTGCGCGCCAATCAGAACACAGTAAAGTGTGTTAAAGGTTAACCTCGTGGCAAATGTTGAAAAGCTGTGAGCAAGAGTGAGTAAAAAACGGAGTAAATGCGGTCTAGCATGACTAGCCTTAATTCGGCAATGTAGTGATTTCTATACTTCCATTTAGTATTGGATCGCTTTGCAGGTTGTTCTGCTTCAAATTACGGTAAACAATAAACAACGTGATCTGTAGAAATCGTAATAATTTGTACATGATTTGTCATCAGTATTATTTAAAAGAAGAAAATTCCTACTACCAGAAGAATAATATCAGATCAAAATTCTCCGAATTGGAAAGTTTACCAGTATAACTACTGTCTGCTCTCCTCCTCTATAGGGGAAAATGTAGGCCGTACGTAAGCCTAAATGACATCGAAATTCGAACATACTGAATGCCTACTAGTTTACCCACCCAGCTAGCGAACTAAACACAGTTTTAAAACATGATCGATTTAATAAGGTAGGATATAACAAAACAATAAAGTTCTAACATTGTTTATTTAGTAAATTGCAACATTGTTTACGTGTTGAAAGCTGGTAAACTATATTTCAATATTGTTTACGCATTGATTATCAGTCCGACGATCCAGCCTACGATCATTGCAAAGCTAATTAAAATAACAATGACCTTCGTAGTGGTTCGTAGCTACGTTCCAAATGGTACCTACGAGCAGGCTACGAGTGGTTACGTGTAGATACGAAGCGATATTTCCTGACTGTACTGTAAGTTAATAACTTTCAATTGAAAATTAAAATGAGAAAATAGTTTTCTTTTATAGTAATATTCATATATCATTTAAATTGACATTAAATTATATGGGCATATTGTAGTGTAAAATATTATCTATGATATCAATAGTTGAAAATCTAAATTTAAAAACAAAAACTTAATTTGACTAATCATACTAGCACATGATGTTCACAGGGACCACATGAATTTTGACTGGGGCCATGTGAATTTTGTACAGGGGACCACTTAAATTTTGACCAGTACCATGTGAATTTTGACAGGAATGATGTAAAATGAATTATGACTGGGACCACATGAATTTTACTGTACCATTTAAACTTTCCTTAAAAATCAAAAAGGCAAATTAACAATTCTATATTTAACCATCCTTCCTTAAACTGACAAAAGTAATAAACCGTTTAAGTTGAACCCTGAGCTTGACATAATAGTTATGATACTGACATGACAACAAATACTATATCCATGTCTACATTTGACTCAAATTACAACTGAAAGTTATGCTATATCTAACCTCAATGTAATTGACTAAATTGGAGTATTAATCACATTACTTCTAAAATAATTAATACATTAAAATTTGGTACAAACAAATAATCTAAGAATGCTGTAAAATGGTAACTGGATATGTACTAGGTGCAAACTAGCTCCCATGATTATTATTAGTAAGCCTAGTGAGTATTGCAGGGTATCTGAGGTACAAATCCCTGTGGATTTCAAAATATATAGCAAAGCAAAGCCTAGTGAGTAACTACATGTGGAGGGGGCTGCGTTATGTACAGCCCCCTTTGGGTAATAAAGCCAAACCTAAAAAGCACTGCATGAGGGTATCCTGAAGTACAATCCCCTCCGGGTACTAAAGCAAAACCCTAGTGAGTATAGCATGAAGTGAATGTCTGTGGTATTAGTCAACTTCAGAGTATTTTTGGTTGGTGTGTCGACATTAGCTAATACCAGCATTGAAATATTCATGCAAACATTTCTTATACATGCTCTTTCCAATCTCCTATTATTGTTAGAGCCACTAATAATGAAACCACTATTTTTTACATCACCAAATATTAAAATATAATTAAATAATTGTTAATAAAGAATCCTAAAAAAAACTATTGCTCCCAGAATACAGTAGGGTTCTCAGCTCTCATAATCACTATTCTCTCTCTCATAATCACCATTATCCTTAATCACCATTGTTATTGTACTAGCTTTTAATACACTCATTTAAATATTGTAGCATTTTTTGTAATCACTGTTTTCTCATTCCTGATGATGACCCAATAAAGGTCGAAACGTTGAATCATGGTCTCCCTCTCTTTATTCGGAGTAACGTTCATTTTATGTTCTCAGCTATTGCAGATTAGAATCCATTTGAAGGGCCAATGACCATCTGAGGTCAGACAGTGTTAGTCTCTAGAGGGGATTATGGCCACTCCCAGTTCCACATAAAAACAATTTTGGTAATGCAGTGTGAAATGATGCAAAGATAGTGGCTTCAAGTTACTATTAATTAATTATTATCTTATTTTAAACATATTCTAGCAGGCTAGATAACTTGCAATCGTGAGCCGTAAATGGTCAACGGACTGCCAGACTGCCAAAAAAATAATTCTTGTGTTGGCTACATTTTGGGAAAAATCCAGAATATGGGTAGGTTGGTAGAAAAAGCCTTTTTTTTTCAAGACCACTTTTATATCTATATTGAAGACGAAAATAATCGTGCAACACTGGCGCATTGTCTATTGTCCAGCAAGATAAGCTTATTCCAGTCTTTTTAGCTCATTAAAAAAATAAATAAAATGCTGAACCTCAATTGCATACATTTTGGGAAGGTTGGGCGTGGTCAAAACACAATCTTTTTGGCCTTATATATGTATCGCAATACATGTACCTGTTTAAGAGAAATGATCACAATGTGTTATTAAAACTTACCAACAACTGTTACTTTTACCGATTCTGGAGTTGTCCCAACATCGTTGCTTGCTGTCAAATTTACTGTATAACTGTCACCAATGGTGTCAGACACAGTAAATGTGTATGTTTCTGGGTTGTTATCAGTGTCTGTTGTTGCTGGCAATGTATTCCAAGTATAGGTAGCAGTTGGGTTGGCAACAACAACAAAGCTAATCGTAACACTCTCTCCACGTGAAACTTCAATATTGCTTAATGGTGTGATTTCAGGAGGATCTTAAAAGAAAAAACTTACATTACTAAGTACTGTATAATACAAATGAAAATATTATTCTTTTTGATACAGTATATATCTGCATGATATACAGTATGCTGTAGTCTACTAATAATAGAAAATACTATACAACCTATCAACATGGCGTCAATAATTATGAAAAATAACAATATGTGTACAGCTATAGCAAAGTAGTTTAACACTTCCTGGTCAGCAATAATGCAACCTTCTACTAATGGGGTATCCCTGGTCATGTATGAGCACTCAGTATATGTAGGCCAACACAATTTACAGAAATGATACCTTTTGCCAAGAGCCCATGTAAGAAAAGACAACAGCCTTGCTCAATGACACATGATGCAATGGACAGTTATGAGATTTAACCTATTAGGGACAAATACACAAAATGAGCATGATTTCAAGGTTGAAAGACCATACTGCAATTGCTATAGCAAGTTGACATCTCAAAATGAAAAAAAAAACAAAGAAAACACAGCGAACAAAAATTGTACCTCATCTTGAAACACGTCGTGAAAATCTGAAGTAGCATACATACTGCAGTTTGAAAACTGATCACACCATTGGCAAACATGCAACTGTACATGTATCAAAGAACCATGTGGTCACATAGTAAAACCCATGTAAATATGACAAATATGAAGGAAGCAGCTTAGCTCAGTCGACTAATCTGGAGGTAGCCACCTTGTGTACGCTGAACTGTGGAGATCTCTAGGTCCCCAGTTCAATTCCCATCGCTGCCTCTCCTTGTGTTTCAGCTGGATGAGACGTTAGCTGTTGGTCCCGCGTGCATTCATGGCCCATGTGCACGTTAAAGATCGCAGTATACTCTTCAGAAAAGAGTAGGGGATTGTCTCTCAGTGTACTGCCCAATCACCACCAGAAGGACCCCACTGGAAATAAGTCTAGACTTTCGTGGGCTATCCTTAGTGTTTACACCGAATAAATCCAACCATCCAACCGATCCAATTAATAAATTTGATTTTTGTACATTATTTATTTATCAGTTGTATTCACTACCACAAAGTTCAACATCTTCCAGCACTGGTGACAAGCCAGTTTTGTTCGCTTTAACCAGAGCCTTGCAGGCGTCAACGTTCCTATGCATGATACATGACTTAAAAAGTATATAG